GATCGGGAATAAGTTACATAGCAAATATAGGTTTGGGACTTTTTTATATATATATTTTTTTAAAAGAAGAATGTCAAAAAAACATCTTAGTGGCCATAATTTCTCTCTCTAAATTCTTATGGAGAAAAAGTGGGGATTCCAAAGTTTCAACACCGGGCATGAGAAATTGAATGTGTAGTGGAAAAAGGCCGTCTCCAGAATCCATAATAGAGTCCCGCCGAAGTCAATAATTGTCTCAAAAGTTCGTAATCATAATACACGAGATATGTACTCACATGAAGTGTCCATTGGGGAAAAAAATAATGTCCCTAAAGTAATAGTCAATACCTACTTGGGCAGACTTTTTCTATCTGGATTGGGAATCACCTACGAATCACTTGATGATTTTTTTCAAACAATAAATTGTAGATTTGAATTCTGTAACGCGCTTAAGGCTTACGTCTCACCCTCCAAAAATTAAACAGTCTTTATTTAATTTTGAAATATTATTTGTTTCAAGCATATAAAAAATAATACTTTAAAATATTTTTCTTTTTTTTTTATTGAAGCTAGTCTATGAGGGTGAAGGTGTTACATCCTAAGAATTTGGGGTCCTAAATATATTCTTAGATTAGGTGTACCCGAGGGAGTAAATGGTCAATACATTCCCACAAAAGCATATAATCTTAATAGTACTAGCATATTTATTCTCAATTCGTTCATATTTGCCTTAATGGGGATTTTTTGGCAGTTTTTAAGTAAATGACATGTTTCTTTTCGATTCGGCTAAGGCTTTCAAATTACATGCCCTTTGTTTTTTGAAATAGTAATGTCCTGATATATACGTTTTATTGAAATGTGAAGTTAGCATATGGATGCATCCGTAGTTCAAATTTTATCATGGTATATAATTTTTATATAAAATGTTCGTAGGATTATTTCAAAATCTATTTTTATATCTAATTATAAAATTTAAAAAATGGTTAAAATCAAGTAGATTTATAAACATATGAAAATCTTGAAAATGGACGGTGTAGATAATATGTCGTAAAATGCATTATTTTTTAGAGTTAAAATATTTTTATTTTTCATGGTCATAGATCTCGATGTCGAGATGATCAATCAAAGGGTTTTGCAAAGATTGCCCTAATCACAATGTCACCTCTCTACACTTTTTTTTTTTTAATTTTTTTTCTATAAAATTTTTTGACATCAAATTTTGGACGTGCAATCCTCTATTAAACTCGAATTAGGGAAAAATATAAAAACAATATTTTCCAAAAAAATAAAATGACCAAAATAGCCTTGAAAGTTTCAAACGGTATTTTGGTCACTATATTTTATCAAAAATTTATTTTTAATATTTTTAATAAGTGTTCCCAAATGAGAAGACGATACTAACCAAATTTCATATTCATACAATTTGTATAAATATAACTAAAAATAAAATGCTTTGAGATGTCGGATCTAAGATCAAACGATAAGTGGCTCTCTTGATCAAAAGTGGACCGAATGGTAGATAAAGCATATATCTTCCATACTTTAGGGGAAGTATAGAAATCTTTCCCATAAAACTTATCATGATAAAACAAAAGAGACTCAACTTATGAAAGGCAATTGTGAGTAAGATTTAAAAACTCCTTATTTTCTCAAAAGAAGTTTATTACTACAAATTCATCACACTTTTTCTCAAAAAACTGAGCTCGCATAAAAAGAGCCGGCAATAGGCCAGGGTGGCCAGCCAGCCAAGATCGCCCAACCCTAAAAAACTAGGGTCCGGGCACAAAATTTGGCCCAATGCCACAGCATAGACAGCCTTGTTCGGCCCAGACCAGCCCGACACTTTGTTTAGCCCAACCCCAACGGGCTAGGCCAAAGACACCCAGCCCGTCCCATTGTCAGCCCTAATCACAACTCTCTCCTCCTCCGAAGAACTTTTTGAGTTCAATAAATATTCTTACCCCCTTCTTCTCTTCCTCCACACACCTTGAACAGATGATTTATTTTTAGCCGTTTACAATTCGTACGCCGTAAAAATAAAAAATTAAGGGCTACACCTTCATGATTACGAGCACTCGGTCCGTAGTCTGTAGTCACTTGACAATGACTCTCTGTCTTCAGGGATTGGCTCAGGCTATGCAAGTCCCAACTACCCCTTCCATCAAATTCATGCAATATTTCGGCACGAAATAACCGAAAACGACAACTTTCTTCGCGTAAAATAACGTCCCTTTCTCTGTCTTTTGCCCTGTCAATTCTTGGCATTTGCCTTTTAGGAGAGGTCTCAGAAAGTTGCTAGCTTTCAGCGTGATGCAAAGGCTGGGGCCCACGTAAAAATAAAGAAAACATAAATGAGAAAGCGAAATTCATGAATCACGAACAAAAACACATAAAAATATGACAATGCCAGCAACGTCCTTGAGCTTTTTTTTATTTATTGAAATAGTAAAATCAGACCGGCTGTTATTATTTGGTGGTCCAGGCCGACTACCTCCAACATAGGGTTCACACTAATGAATATTGCTAGGAGAAAATAGGCCTAGGTTTTATGAAAAAAATAAATAAATAAACCCTCACCTCGAGTCCTACATTTCGAAAGCATTTTGAGCATAAAAAATCTTTAAAATGAATTTTTAATAGTGACAATGAAAATTTGAAGCTCAAAAAAATATATATATATCTTGTGGATCTACGAACACTTATTTTTAAGAAAAAATGAATGATCTAGATAATGCGTTAGGGCTTGAAATCCTATTTTTTTTACAACTACAATGATCAAGGCTGAGTTGATCGATTTGAAGGTTTTCCAACCCCAAAACTACAATTTTAGGTGAGTTTTGTGGTGGGGTTTTGCTTATTTTGATATGGATGCAGCCCTATCAAAACATTTGCCAAATATTTTTTTTTTTTCAAGACTATGCAATCTTCCTTGTACTCTTCCCAACGATCAAATCTAATAAAAAAAAGATTTAGAGCTCAAATGTAAGTGGTAAATAGGCTTGGGTCCCTAGCCTGGACCCAACTTGACTAGTCCAGGGTCGAACTTTAACCCCAATCAGACCCAGTTAGGTCCAAGTTTGCTAGACCTCACTGAAAGGGTATGCTACAAGTTAAAATATCATTAAACACAAAATATAAAAATATCATATATATTATAATATAAAATTCTAAATTATAATTTTATATAGAATATTATAGGTCGTGTCAGCTAGACCAAACTTAATTAGGTTTGAGTTGGACCTAATAAGGTGGCAATCGGGTCGGGTCAACAACCTAGCTTAGGTCCGGGTCTATGTTTTGGACCTAGTGAGTCAGGTTTGGTCCGGGCTGGGGCCAACCCGACCCATCCCCAACCAGAAATAAAATATAAATATATATAACATTTTTTTATTTTTTTATTTCTAGACTCGGGTCATTGTCCAAGTCACTTGAAACAGACCCGGGTCCGAGACAAGACTGCCACCCCTAGTAGTAGAATGACCCGGACCTCACCTAAGTATTGGGTCCAATAGTTTGAGTCGCACCAATCAGATTGACCTCACCTGATTCTGTCCCCTACTCAAACTCAAATGTAGTTTTAAGTCACAAGAGAGTGTTAGATGTGAAATCTAACAATTTAAAATGTGTTACAAAGATTAAAATTCTTTTAATGGTACCAAAACAGTCTCATTGTTTACTTTTCTCTATCCAAACCTCCTATGAACACTAACTGCCAACCCTCAAGGGTTTTTAAAATCTCAAAAAGTCACACTACATTAAAATCAAAACCTCTCGCAACTCAACAATTATAATCTTTGTCCACATGCCTACTTACGTGTTAAGAAGAGTTTCCGTTCTAAAAAAGTATTAATGCACCGACCTTGTAGAGAATGACACCTCAAATTTTCACAATTTTGAGGGTAGACAGAGAGGAACATTGCTTTGTGATATTTTTTTTGTTTTTTTATAAAAATTTCACAATTTTATTGAATTAAAATGTAATTGCAGATTTTGAAATAGAAACAAAAGAAAAGGAAGAGCCTCTTTTAGCAAGGGACCTCTTTAGGCAAGGGAGTCTGTCACTACATTAGCTTCCCAATAAACATGAACAAATGAAATAAAAAGAGAAGAGAAGAGATCCAAAATCTGTAGCAATGAAGTATTGAAGTCTCATGGAAGCAATTGTTCTTCTTTGCACCACAAAATTACATTAAAAGAATCACCCTCAATCATGAATTCAATCCCTAGCTTCTTCTCCATAATAATTTGTATTCAAAAAAATGATGAATTCAATCCCTAGCTTCCTCTCCATAATAATTCATATCCCAAAAAAGACGGCGTATAGCTCAGCATAAGTAGGAGTCCTAACCCCAAGTGGCCCCCGCATAAGAAAAAATCATATTGCCCACCTGGCCTCGGCCTCAGCCTCAATCCTAACATTGCTTTGTGATACTTCTAAACGAAATGGGTCAGTTGATCCTACCTGGGCCCAGCCTCAATCATCTTGATCCTAAACAAAATAGGGCATGGGGCTCTTCGGCCCGACCATCTTTTCTTTATTTGTTCTTTTTATTTTTTACATTTTTATTTAGCTTGGCCCTGCCCTATCTTGATAGACCTAGACCAGGCCTTTTGGGCCCAATTAGAACCGGGCTGGGCCTGGGCCAACCCTTTTGGGACTAGGCGACCCTAAAATATCTAGATCAACAAATTTTATGTCACCTGGTGGTGAGCATGATGGCAAACTATTAGTCATAAAATTAGAAACAACATTCCCGTAAAGGTGGAAGGACGACGAAGGTGCGTATTTTAGAAGGCAACCGAACTTATCATCCAAAGCTACATTTTAGGGGTAGTTTAGTCACTAATAGAGGAAATAATGATTATCCTCCTTTGACAAACTGGACTGACAAATCAGATGAGAAAGATGAAAATGAAGGTTCTTAATGAGTTTGTCAGATTAAGTAAGGGTATAGGAGGACAAGAAGACTTTATCTCTCTAAAGTCTAAACCTATTTCTCTCTCTCCAAAGAAGACTTCTCTCTCTAAACAGAGATCTCCTTGGACCTGAACGGAAGCCCACCTCTCTCTCTCTCTAACAGAGAACCCTCTTAACATAAGCCCAACTCTCTCTCTCTAAACAGAGGAACCCCTAAAGAAACCCCACCTCTCTCTCTCTAAACAGAGGTGCCCTGAGCAAGCTCAAGTCTCTCTCTCAACAAAGAAACCCACGAGACAAAACCTCCAAAACTCTCTCTTTATTATTGATGAAGGCCTGTGGAACCCTCTGAGAAAACAGCCATGAAAGTTGCAGACCAGGACGGGGGGAGCCTCCTCCAAATCTCTCGAAACCTTCTCCATTTTCTCTCTCTAGAAATATCTCAAGTTCAGAGCTTCAAAGGCAAGTGGGGGGTAGTCAAAACTAAGCTAGACCAGCTGCCCTCTCTCATCACTGATCTCTCTGAGTTCCCCAGCTTCTCTTCCAACCTTTTGTGTTCAGAGCTCCTCCAGTCCGTCTCTCAAACCCTTACCCTGGCCCTAGAACTCCTCAGGAAATGCAGTAGCCATGAACAAGCCATGGGCAAGCTTCATATGCAGAGTAACCTGGATTCTCTCTCGATGAAACTCGACCAACACATTCAGGATGGCGAGCTTTTGATAAAGAGTGGGATTCTCCAGGAAAACCCCACTCCCTCTCTGCAAGGAAAGAAGCTGACTTCAAGGAGAGAAGCCATTAGAGCGAATGCGAGGACCCTATTGACAAAATTACAGATTGGTAACCTCGAATCCAAGCATTCAGCCATGGATTCATTGATGGGTCTGTTGCAGGAGGATGATAAGAGCGTGATCATAGCTGTTACACAAGGTATGGTCCCTGTTCTGGTTCACTTGCTTGATTCTAGTGAGATGAGAGAGAAAGCAGTCTTCGCAATCTCCAGGGTTTCTTATGTAGAGAGTTGCAAGCATGTATTGATTGCAGAAGGGGTTCTTTCTCACCTGGTTAGGGTTTTGGAGTGTGGGTCTGGTTTTGCCAAAGAAAAGGCATGTGTAGCTCTTCAAGCTCTGAGCTTTAGCCCTGAGAATTCGAGAGTTATTGGCTCTGGTTCTGGCATATCTGCTTTAATGGAGATATGTGTTATTGGAACCCTAGCTGCTCAAGCTTCAGCAGCTGGAGTGCTCAAAAACTTGGCATCGGTTCAAGAAATCAGGCCTCACTTCATGGACGAAGGCTATATTCGAGTTCTAATTGGTCTTGCTAATTCTGGAACTCCCATGGCTATGGAGAATTCAGCTGAATGCCTGCTAAATTTGACCATGGATGACGATTGTTTCAGGCTTTTAATGACCAATTTAGGAGTCATAGAATGTTTAAAAAACTTATATGATTCAGCCCCAACTGATCGATCTCAAGAAATTGCAATTGGGTTGGTTAAAAACCTTGCTAGCTCTGCAAATGCTGCATCGATGTTGGTTTCATCAGGGTTTATTCCTCGAATTGTCAATGCTCTTAGTTTAGGGGAAACAGGGGTCCGAACAATGGCTGCCATGGCTGTTTCAGAGTTGGGTTCTTCAAATGAGTATGCGAAGTTAGTGGGAGAAGCAGGCTGCGTCCCTCCATTGATTCGAATGCTTGAAGGGAAAACTGTTTCAGAGAGAGAAACATCGGGAAGGGCTTTATCTTTGATCCTAACAGTTGAGGGAAATCGAAGGGCTTTTAGGAAGGAAGAGAAGGGAATATCCTTCACCATTCAGCTTCTTGACCCTTCAATTCACAATTTTCCAAGGAAAAATCCCATTTCGATATTGAGTTCTCTCTCTAACAATGCAAAGTCTAGGAAACAGATGGTGGCTCATGGTGCTTGTGCACATTTAGAGAGACTTTCAGATATGGAGGTTCCTGGTGCCAAGAAACTTCTCGAAAGCTTGAGTCGAGGAAAACTATGGAATATGCTAGCAAAACCATAGGAGCCGAGTTTTTTTGGCCTCAAATTTCCAGAGATCCCCATTGAAAGACAGGCCTGGAGGGGAAGCTCTTCTCTTTGCTCTGTATGTACAAGCTTGTATCTTCATTTATTTAGATTTTGGGAATAATCTTTCATTTCTTTTAATTTTCCTTTGTTACGCATAAAGATGGGTTCTGAGTCCTAGCCCTTGAAAGGAACTATTTTGTCTTTTGATCACTGGTGTATATAAATCTGCATAAACTCTACTGTATCCAATCTTCTTTGTACAGTCTTCTTGTTTTATCTAGCTTGTCACCATCATTCTTTTAGTACTTTGTTATTTTTCCTAAACCTGCTTGAAGGAGGATGCAGTCTCTTTCTTGTAGTCTCTCCCTTTTGTGCAATCAGTTGTGAAATCTGAAACTTTGCGCTCCTGATTAACAAGTGATTGTACCATACTATCTTATGAAAGAAAACACACATATAATTGCATGTATGCATAAATACATCCCCACACACATATTCGTACATACAGTGTTTTAAAAACGGACTCCGGGTGCCCAGAGCAGGTCCACTACTCAAATCCCAAGTAGACTGTCAAGTCTTGCCAGAGTTGGGTGAGTTGGGGTGAAACAAAAAATCAAGGAGTCAGGAAAATTCAGGAAAAATTAGGGAAAAGGAAATGGAAAATTGTAAGAAGTTGAGAAAACTTATACAAGGTATGAACAACAATTAAAAGTTGATTCTATCTGCATACACTTGATGAAATTATATGAGGAAACTCTCAAATCAAGGAGTTTCCTTTATTTTTTATTTTGTTATGGAAACTGAACTTAAGATCGGATAGGTAGCACAAAATTGACTTAGGGAAGAAATTTAAGGGTGGATCAAGACACGCTTGCAATAATTTCGTAAGACATCAACTTCGGTGCAGGCTTAGTTTGAAAGCAAAATCTAGGGAGTCTAGATTTTTTATTATTCCTATTTAATCTGATGCTTTTAATCTATTACTGATGCAAACAGGAGGGCAAGGGTTGAATGTTGAGAGGGAACCTGGCTCAAAAGACTGAATAAAATGAAATGGGATTTGGCTTCCTCATCTCAAAGGAGTCAGAAAAGGGGAGTTGGCTTCCCCCCCCCATACACAAGACAAAAAAAAAAAAAAACTGAAAATACACTGTACTTTGCAAGTTTTTGTGGACTTGCCCAGTCTATCAGTTACTTGCCGAGTTGCTACAATATTAGCCCAAGTTGTGAGAAACTTGGGTGAGTATTACTACACTATCTCTCTGACAAGTTTGAGGTGTTTCAGGGCTCGCAGGCTGCAAAGCCCTGGTAACTCGGGCGAGTCCGTGTTGGAGCTCATCAGGTTTCCAAACACTGCAGAATCTGAGCCAGACTCTTTTATTATAAGAAAAATGCATGGTTCTGTGAAAGTTTGAATAAAGAGACATTCCATGAAGATTCAGACATTGTTACATACTACATATATGATCATCATTTCAAAAGATATGCGCTTCGCCCACAAACTTGTAAAACTTCCAAGATTGAGTACATTCACAACCCCACCACCTATGTACCTCTCTCTCAAACATGCACAAAATGAAATTTTGACATCCTCTCGACAATACCCGTGTTGCTGTTGTTGATTTGTCCATATAAAGACACAATATGCCACTTTACATCTTACATGCAATATTGTCCTTGTTTTTTGCCTTTATACATCATGAGTTAAATGCATGTATTCATGCTCAGGGGCGGCATGTTGGTTATGCGATCCCTATACCTATCCACTGTAGATGAGGACGGTAAAGTAGAATGTGAGCACTGTGATATTGTTGGTGTCGAATAGCGTAGCCATGTTTTTTGCTTCTCTTGTGGAGTTCCCTCTTTTAAGTGTTAACGAAGTAAGAAGTTCACTAGGTTAAATTTCTCTGTTTTGAGTTTCAGTATCAGATGAATATTTTTAACTTTTAGTTAGTAATTTGGTATAAAGTGATTGTTTACTAAAAATTTTGGTATTGCATTTCATTGAGGGGAACATGATCTCTCAGAGTGATAGAGGAAGTGGTAAGAGACAGAAATGTAACATGGTCAATAAAGAAGCCAAGACTTCATAGAAAATTTTGAGTGTATTTTGTTCTCCTTGGTACTGTATTTTTGTTCACAGGAGCCAGTTTATAGTATTCTCTTTATTACCCTGTGTTTACTTTTTGTGTGTGTGTAAGGCATCGAAATGCAAATGCTTTATTGAGAGAGAGCCAATGGCATTTTTATACAGTGAATGGATGTTTATCTTGCAGAAATACGAAATCAGAGAAAATGAAGATTTTTATATTTTGACCAGACTACAACTCTAATTTGGCTTGCATCTTTGTGTGTGAATCAAGTGTGAGAAATTTCTATATTTTGATTGGACCTCATCTCTCTGTGTGTGCATCTTTGTGTGTGTTGTGTGTGTGGATCGAGCTTCAGAGAAATTTCTATATTTCGATGAGATCTCATCTGTGTGTATGTGTGCATGCGCGAATGTGCTCTGTTTCATGAACTCTTGCTTTATCATTCTTGTTTTGTCCTGCATTAGATCAGTTAAAATAACAAAATCGTATTTAGGGAAGTAATTGCATAGATACTCTTCGCTGCCTCCAGGTGGTGGCCTCCCTCTCTCTCTCTGTCACACACACACACATGCACGCTCACACGACACACTCACACACACACACAAGTGGCCAGGAACACACTCTCTCTGTCTATAAGCTTTTGTCTTTGTGCCCCAATTAGCCATTCTCCTTCTGCCTTAGAGTGCTTCTGTAATGCCTGTCAATTGCTTGGGGCCCTTGTTCAAAGTACTTAGACATGCTTGGAGAGAGAGAGAGAGAGAGAGAGAGCAGAAGTGTCCGTGTCTTGCGCTGCTTTGTCTGACCATAGTGTCCTTCTACCTCATCACTTCCTAATATTTACTTGTTCATGGCTTTATCCATGAGGGCCTTATCCCTTGGGGCTTGATGATGGCTCACTAGAGCCACACGCTTTCTTTCTTTTTTTTTCCGTCTTGTTCCCATCCCCTCGACAAATAGTGAGACTGATTTGAACCCCTTCCTGTTTGGAGTTTTGTTTATGAAGTCTTTCACAAATAGTGAGACTGATTTTAATTCCTTCCTGTTTGGAATTTTGTTTATGAAGTCTTTCACAAATAGTGAGACTGATTTGTATTCCTTCGTGTGGAATTTTGTTTATGAAGTTTTGTGTTGGAGTGGTTGTGGATAAGTGGATAATGCTTGATTAAGAGGGCTGAAGGCATCTTTGGAGACATAAGGGAACCCTGAAATGATGGAATCTCTCTCTCTCTGTAAAGATCTTACTCTCTCTAGGAATGACCGAAGACGTCCATTTCATTTGTATAAGTGTCCTTGTTATTAGATCTCTAATTTTATTATTGGCAAAACATTTTCTCCTTGAGAAAGAATCACATTCAGAAATTGTATAGTACAAGGTCATTCATTTTTCGTACAAGTAGGTCACAATTACTCTTGACTATTGGATGTGAAATCCAAAGTGTGTTGATAATATTTTAAAAATTTTATTTTGAATTTATGCCAAGTTAGCAATACATCCCGAATTACCCAATTTCACATGTAATAGTTTGTTATGAATATGACCTTCTCATACCAAAAGTAGATGGTCTTATTGTGTATATTTTATTAAATTATGACCAACTAGGTATTCCGAAAACATATAGCTGTTTGTTCATTAGATTATAGAGTATAAACAAATTAGGTATTCCACAAGTTAAAAAATATGCTGTATCTCTGCAGAGCCACTATATCCTTTTCGAGTGGCCATTGTTGCATACTGGTATTCCAGTTCCCTTTGTTGACAAATCAGTGGTCTGCTTCTTGATGTACCAAGATTAGTGCAATGGAACCCATGTTTAATTGTATCTTTGATCCTTGTTCCAATTAGGGGTGCAATGCGCCGGGCTGGAATGCAATTGAGGAGAAAACTAGATAGACAAAATTGGTTGCGGAGAGAGAGAAAAGTTTGAAAAAATGGGTTTTTAGAGAGGGAGAGAATGGGTTAGAGAGAGAGAGAGAGAGAGGAGGGGGGG